TTGCTGAGTCCAATAGCCAATTCTAACTCTTCCTACTCTTACTGATTCAGTTGGGCAAGACTCTTTTTCTCTTTATAATCAGTAAGTATTAACTGAAGAGGTCCTTTGTGACTATGTATAAATACCCTTGTTCCTCATCAGGCTTGCATTTTATTCATTCATTTATTTACATCAGTATGGACCCATGGTCTTCTTTTATTCATTGGGTTACTTATTTTTGCTCAAATTATACCAGATGTGTCCAGGGGGAGTCTCTTCAAGATGATTTTAATATGTTCCTATTATTCTTTTTTTAATATGTTCTTTTTAAATATGTTCCTGTTATTCTTTGATTTTTTTTCTTTGTTTGCACAGCAACATGTTCCAGGCTCATCTCATTCTTTTCCTTTTCCATCCCTGGATGTAGTTATTTTTCCAAGGAACATTATTTTGTTCTGTGTATGTTCATTTTTTTAATTTTATTTTTTTAAAGATTTTATTTATTTGACAGAGACACAGTGAGAGAGGGAACACAAGCAGGGGGAGAGGGAGAAGCAGGCTTCCCTCTGAGCAGGGAGCCCGATGCAGGGCTCGATCCCAGGACCCTGGGAGCGTGACCTGAGCTGAAGGCAGACGCTTAACGACTGAGCCACCCAGGCGCCCCTGTTCATTTGTTTTAAAGTGGAAAATCACTAGGGCGCCTGGGTAGCACAGTTGGTTAAGCATCCGACTCTTGATTTTGGATCAGGTCACTATATCAGGGTCAGGGAATCGAGCCTTGCATTGGGCTCCCCGCTCAGCATGGAGTCTGCTTAAGATTCTCTCTCTCTGCCCCTTCCCCCAGCTTGCTTACACATGCGTGTGTGCTCTCTCTCAAATATACTTTAAAAAAAAAAAAAGTAAAGTGGAAAATGACCTTTAGAAACCAAAATCTGAGCACAGAGTATCCTCATTACTATTGACGTGTCACTTTTTCCAGGCCCTAATGCACAAAACTAGAGTTGTGTATGTGACCTATCCATGATGTTTATGTACGAATGTATGCATGTATATTTGTGTTCGTGTATAATACATCCTTCTACACACATATATATCTGTATTACTGTATCTCTATATGCATTGAAGACCATGGGTCCACAGAGGTATTTTCAATTCTAGTCTACCACTGTAGGATCCATTCTGATTTTTTTCCCTTTCCCTCTTTGTAACTCTTTTCTCCCACAGTGACAGTCCTGGCTTTCATTATTCTCATGACATACATTTATTTGGTCACTTCCCCTCTATGTAAGTAATCTCAGGCTGGCGTCCTTTGCTGCTTCCCTCACCCTCCCCACTCAGTGTTGACACCTTCCTCATCTGCCTGGGCTCTGTTATGGAATGAATTTTTGTGTTTTGTTTTGAAACCCTAACCCTCAGTATGATGGTATTAGGAAATGGGGCCTTTGGGAGATAATTGGGTTTAGATGAGGTCATGAGGGTGGAGCCACCATGATGAGATTAGTGCCCTTATAAGATGAAATACCAAAGCTGCTTCTCTTTGCAATATGAGGGTACAATGAGGACGTGGCTATCTGCAAGCCTGGTAGAGGGCTCTCAACAAGCGCCAAATTCCCTGGTGTCTTGATCTTGTACTTCTCAGCCATCAGAACCATAGGAAATGTGTGTTGTTTAAGCCCCCCAGTCTATGGTGTTCTGTTAGAGCAGCCTGAGCAGTCTGAGGCAGGCTCTGGAACCCTATGCTGACTTGCCACACCCCCTCCCCCTTAGATTTCTCCTCATCCCTCTTGAGATCTGACATCCCTGTGGGGTGGCTGTCCTCCTGGTGGATGCCCTCCTTCCTCACTCTGCTGGGTGTCTCACCTCTACCCCAGGCCACTGTGGTTCTCCCACACTTGCATCAATGCCTCCCTCCTTACTCAGCCCTCTAATTGGCTGAATTTTTCATGAAGTGGAAGAAGAGTGGTAAACCAGAGATGACGTGGGGCAGAGGCTTAGAAATGCAGTAACAGCCCTTGAGGCACTTCTAGTGCCAACGGCACAGTCCAGTTTGAAAATAAATGAAGTAGCAAAATGGACAAATTGTGTATCTTTAGAGCAATGTTTGGCAAACTATGGCCCATGGATCAAATCTAACCTGTGGCGTGTTTTGGTACAGTTTATGAGTTAAGAATGGATTTTACATAATTTAAGCATTGTGAAAAATAAAATACACAGTATAATATGCAACAGACCATATACGGCCTGCAAAACCTGAAATATATGCCATCTGGTCCTTCTGACCTCTTCTTTAGAGGAGGATTCTTTCTTTTTTTTTTTTTTTTTAAAGATTTTATTTATTTATTTGACAGAGAGAGACACAGCGAGAGAGGGAACACAAGCAGGGAGAGTGGGAGAGTGAGAAGCAGGCTTCTCGCCGAGCAGGGAGCCCGATACGGGGCTCGATCCCAGAACCCTGGGACCATGACCTGAGCCGAAGGCAGACGCTTAACGACTGAGCCACCCAGGCGCCCCTTAAACATCATTTCTTAAAACTAGACTTTTGACTCTGGGGCACCTGGGTAGCTCAGTCTGTTAAGTGTCTAGCTCTTGATCTCGGCTCATGTCATGCTCTCAGGGTCATGAGATCAAGCCCCACATCTGGCACCGCACTGAGCATGGAGCCTGCTTAAGATTCTGTTTCTCTCCCTCTCTCTCTGCCCCTCCCCCTGCCCATGCCCTCTCATGTTCTCTCTAAAAAAAAAAATAACTTTTGACTCAAGAGTTTGAGGATCTATTCCTTGGAAAAGACTCAGGTTCTTGCCAGTTAAGTTCAGGTCCATATGCTTTGAAAAGGAACTAGCCAGAAAATAATCTTAAGATTTTCTAAGGCAAGTTAAGAGGCCTAATCAAGATTCACCCCTGAACACATGGTATGATCTCTGTACTTAGATAATACTCAAGTAGATTGCCTGCCTTCTGTACTTAGGTGATTCCAAGTTGCTGGCCTGTCTCTGCTGTCTGCACTTAAAAGGGAGTCAGAGTGCACAGCACCTCTGTTACAATGCTAAGCGTATTTTAGCTTCATATGAGCATCGTTTCTCTATGTCTTCATCCCCTGTTGTACTTCCGGTGCCTGGTGGACAGGGAATGGACTGTGTTTTACTCTCGGTTGCTTATACCAAGAGATTTGTGTTTGTAGTGAATTAGACTAGCCAGTGCTTTCATATCTGGTATTCATACATCTCTAGATTGTTTTATTTTTTTTTTTTAATTTTTAAAATTGGCAAGAAGTTTTTTTCTCCTGTTCCTTTTGTTTTGTGTAATCCTGGTCTCCTTATCAAAATCCTGTATATCAAATGACAATACTTTATTGTAAGTAAAATACAGCATCATTGTAACGCTATCTCAGAAGCAAGAATATTTCCCTGGCTCATCCATTTACTGTTCAAATAGCAGTGCTTGACCTGTGATAGTCACTGCAGCCCTCCGTGTGTTTCCATAGTATTCTCTATTTATCATGAACAAGTATAATGTAGTTTTTGTTTTTTGTGTTTTTTGACAGCCATATCTCTTTTGGAGGGGATAGGGCACTGGGGGTGGGCCCGGGACACCCCTACCGCGCCGCACGTTCGTTGGCGCTGCTTCCTGAGCCCTGTGGCTTCATCACAGTAGGCAGCTCAGGAAGGCTGGAGAAGGGGCCTTGAACCATTCATGTGAATGGGGAGAGCTGCTTAGGAGACCAGGCCCACAGGAGCTGGGGCCTGCGGCCACACCGTCCAGCTGGTGAAGCCACACTCTCCCACTGTCTTGCCGTCATCCAGAAGCTGGTCATCCTTGCACAGCTGCTGCTCATTGGGCGGCCACTTGAGGATGCCCTGGAGGATGCGCTTCAGCCTGAACATGGTGCTCCACTCCTTGGTGTCCTTGAAGATGGTGGTCCTGTGGTTCCGGATTATGAGGAACCTGTCCTGGGGGTGGTGGGCTGCCCACCCGCTCCCAGTGTGGCCTGCTGCTCCCAGCCCCCGCCCAGCCAGTACAATGTTGTTTTAATGCTCCCCTGATCATTCCTGTTTACTTGCCTGTGCCCTACTTGGGGTGGGGGGTGGGGGGTGAGGGGTTGAGAAGGTATCTTGTTTATGGTTGTATTCCCAGTACCTGACACATTACAGAACTCAGAAAAGCTATATTGAATGAATGAGAGAGAGTGAATGAATGTACAAACCATGCTAGGGTCAAGGGATGCAAAGATGAATAAGCCACTGTCTTAGGCTGCCTTGAATCCTCTTGCCAAAATATTTTAAAGAACAAGTGCATGATGTACGACAGGCCAGCATTAGATTGTGCTGATTCAAAGAACCTGAAGTTGGGGACATGTGTGGGAGGAAATAGGGGGCTTTAGGAAATGGAAGGTGGGCTGTGTGAGCAGAATGGTTCTGGGAGCAACCCCAGGAATGTCCAGGTTGGAGTAGCTGCAGGAAGCATTAGGATAGAGAATTGGGGCTCAGCAATGGGGAAAAGTACACATTTAAAAATGCATCATTGGGGGCGCCTGGATGGCTCAGTCGTTAAGCGTCTGCCTTTGGCTCAGGTCATGATCCCAGGGTCCTGGGATCGAGCCCCGCATCGGGCTCCCTGCTCAGCGGGAAGCCTGCTTCCCCCTCTCCCAGTCCCCCTGCTTGTGTTCCCTCTGTCGCTGTGTCTCTCTCTGTCAAATAAATAAATAAATAAAAGTCTAAAAGAAATTAAAAATAAAAAAATAAAATAAAAATGCATCATTGCCCAAAAAAAAGTCAAGAATAAAAAATATGTTCCAAAACCTTCATGTTACGGTGACAGTGAAAAGTATTCTCTGACCTGATCTAAATCTTACATAGAATGATTTCCTTTTTGATCTATTCACTGCTATTTTTTGGGGGGGACAGTGACTTTAGACCATTTATTGAAGAGGAACAGAGAGATCCTTGGCCGTTTTTGCCTGTTTGATCATGTGGTTTTCATCAGTGAGAGGTAATTTTTTGGTGTGTTTTGTTTTTAATCACCAGGGAGCCTAAAGAAGGAGGTATGCCCATGGATATTTCTCTAGCGCCCTGCTCACTCCGGGTGAAGACCCCGGAAGGCTGCACAGAGCTCCAGCTTCCAGCAGAGGTCAGGCTCGTGCCTTCCTCCTGCCGCGGGCTGCAGTACGTCCCGGGAGATGGACTGCACCTGCGGGTGCAGGTGCAGGCAGAACCCGACGACACCAGTGAGTGATCCCAGTGCTCCTGCTCCTGCATTTAGTTTTTCATTGTAGATCAAAGGTGATTTTTCCTTTGAAAAGTTGACCTTTTCCCAGGTGGAAAAGACTGTTCAGCAGCACCATGGAAAGAGCTGGTCAGAAGGTTCTTTGTCAGCTCTGCCACTAGCTGTGCAGTTGAGCATGCCACTTAACCTTTCTGGAGCTTTGTTCTGTAGGCTGGGGGGGCGGTGTAGCAGTTAGTGTTTTTTTTTCCCTCCTAGTAGATTTTATTTTTTAGAGCAGTTTTAGGTTCACAGCAAAATTAGCAGAAGACACAGAGATTTCCCATATAACCCCTGCTTTGTTTCTTTAACTGTAAAATTACCAAGCTCACATGGTTGATAGGAAGATGAAATCAGATGGCAGTTGTACAAGACCTGGTGGATTTTGAAGCATTACATAGAAATTCATCCATTCAACAAACACTGCCCTACACTGTGTGTTAGGCTTTGATCTAGGTGCTAGGGATACAGAAGTGAAAAGGCTGGGAAGGCCTCTGCCTTTAGGGAGCTTATGTTCTCGTGGGTGGGAACAGATAATGAACAAATAAGTTGCTTGGATACAGAAAAAAGTGCTCTGGTCAAAGAGGAGGAGAGTAATGGGATAAGGAGTGACTAGGGTGAAAGGTGCTCAGGGAAGGCTTCCCTCTGAGGAGGGGTAATATGTAGCCAGAGAACTGAATGCTGGAAATGATCCAGTCCATGCAGAGACATTTCCAAAGAGAACAGTATATATACAGATCCTGAAGTTGAGTTTGATGCATAATTTGATTTTGACTATTGCTATGCCTGTTATATTTCTAGTATTTTGTTATTGCCACATTGATTCAGTAAGATGGTAGAAATGTTTCTCAGAATAACTTATTGAATAAAATTATTGGCTCATTGCATCTCTTCACATGTAAGTAATGTGCTTCACAGGATGAAAAATGATGTGAAAGGGAAACAGGCTGTAACAGACCGTGAGATGCTCCTTATCAGGAGAGGATTATGATTCTTTCAACTGCACCCTGAGGCTTTGTGGCTGCCTCATCTCTACTAAGCCGTTCATTTGAGCTGCGTGGAGCCTCGAGGTGGGGTCAGCAGGGTGGATTTGAAGAGCCATGTAGGAGATGTGGAGCATTCCCCTGAGTTCTTGCTGCTTTATTCATTGGAGAGTAATTTTTGCTCAAGTCCTAAATTAGTGAATCACTAGTCTTGAGTTGGGCAGAGTTGGATTTAGGAACAAGGTGTAAGGAACCGAAATGTCATGGAGCTTAAGTGACATATCCACATGCTAAGAATGACTACTGTAATAACCATGGAAAGAAGAATGGGGTCACCAAGATGGGAAATAGACTGACAATGGAAACTGGGCAAAGGCAGGCACGAAAGCCACACTGGGGTGTTTTCAGATCTGCCAGTTTTCTGGATTTGGATTTTAGGTCCCATACTGAGGAGGTGGTATGGAGGCCTTCTAGAGACACAGTTGGTTTGTCGCCTGCCCGTCTTCTGTAACAGTTAATAAATAGCAAAACTTGAATTAGTAAAGAAAATTTAAATCAGCAAGCATGATTGTTTCACTGTAACTGTAGGACACAATAAGTTGACTGCTGAAATGTTGGTTTGCATATTGCTTGCATTCCATTGGTCTGCTGTGGCTTTACACTTTTAAAACATTTTACTCAAATATCTGAAAAGGAAGACTTTCAAAGCCCTGTTCTGCAGTGCGTGAAAGGGTATGCAAAATAGATCTCAGTACTTAATAGCTTTAGTGCTTTCCACATAATAGGTGGTGAGTAAATATTTGCTGAATGAATAAATACCAGATTGATGCATACTGATGCTGACTTGAATCAAAATGTAGTGTAGGAAGCGACTTGATATTTTTAGCATTCAGTTGTATTTTGAGGTTTTTAAGAAGTTGACTTTTCAACTATAAATGTTCTTTTAAGGACTACAGTAAGCCTATTGTTGTGCTGTTCTGAATGTAACATAGGTCAGATCATGACCCTTGACACGGACATGGCTACAGTAAAGTCTGAGACAGCACCAGCATTAGACTCATCCACAGGGGGCAGTACTCTCCCATGATGCCACCTTGTCAGGAATTCTGACTTGAACTTGATCATGCTGGGTGACCAGCAGGGGGGAGTGTTTCTCTGAAAATTTGTTTATTGGTTTGGAAAAGAATGGATGACTTAACCCAGGTCTACTTATTATCTGCTCAAAATTAAAGAATACTGTTTATTTCACCTTAGTGCTACAGGGATTGTCAGATACCCCTAGAAATTAAAAGGATGAATTTTTAATTGCCGAGGCTTAAACTTTCTACGAAACATCAGTCTTTAAAATCTTAACATATGTACAAAGTAACATAAACCAAGTTCAAATTGCTTGGTTCTAATGAGTATGACCTCATTTCTTTAAGGTGTTTTTTTTTTTTTTTTTTATGGACAGATATTTTTGTGTGTGGGTTTTTTGTTTTGGGGGAGTCTTTTTGAAATGAAAGTTTCCTTTCTTCATGAATAAAATAATGGAAACTAAGGGAATGCTGTGCTTCATATAATGTGGGAAATAACATTTTTCCACAGCTTTAATCAGAAATTGAGTTTTGCTCTTAGAAGATTGAATTCTTCTTAGGAGCTATTCCATTCCCAGGAACCTGTCCAATAAAGACCAGTTTCAAGATGATTCTTGTTTTATGTACTGGTAATAGGCCAGAGTGGACATAGACTTTGTTTAAATTAAATTAAACTTAAATTTGAGGGGTAGAAGCTGCAGTCATACCGATGAAAACTGGACGGAGGACATAGCCTCCGAGGAAGGCTGAGGATGGTGAGGCCCCCTGTAGTGAGCTTGATGTGAAAGTAATCGCCCTCTTTCTTCTTCCTTAATGTTGGTATTTATGGAATGAGTGAAATAACTCAGTGGTATGTTGCAGGGATAATCTAGGGCCATACCTAGCTCTGAAACACTTAGCACAATCTGTTGTTTTTGAGAACACGTCACAATATTTGCTTCTCGTTGAGTCATCAGATAATGCTAGTTAAATGTGTACTTCTGGGTGGATCGTAAACAGTGTTTATTGACAGTAACTTATTGTGGCTGTTAAACTCTTTATGTTAATATATTTGTCCCACACTTCTGAGATTTGCTCTTTCATCAATTTCTCTTTAGAACTGATTTCAGTGTTTAATCAAAGCTCACAAGCCCAAGGATGTTGCACATTTTATTGCCAGTCCTGCGGTGAAGTCGTAATAAGGAACAGGTAAGGAATGTATTTTACACTGATTAATTCTGTGCCTGGCAATGGTTTTCTTCTTTTCTATCAGAATTTTTGAAGTAATTACCAGGGGAGCTGTATATGGCCTTAAAATGAGAGCCAGCTTAATGTCACTTTGAGCAAAATCAACCCTAAAACTCTCCAGCAATCATAGAGCAGTTAGACCTTCTAAAGGAGACAAAGGGGAACATAGCATGCTGGCTTTGAGGGAGGAAGGCTTATCTTGATGGAAGCCTGTGTTGATCACCGAAGCATGTCTCTTCTGAAGAGAGGGGCTCTGGTGCATGTTTTATCCATCATGTTGGTGAATGAGATTTCTTCCACAATAAGTGAATTTTCTAAATCCCAGAGGCTCTTGCAACACAACTTTTTATTTGAACTATTTCTGTTAGTCCCTTTCTAAAATCCATTTCCTATTTCCCTGCTTATTAAAACAGAGCATACAGAGCACAAATTAACCTTTTCTTGATGATTAGGTTAATCTTATTACCTGTTCTTGCAGTGTGGTGTGATTACTCTGTTGAGATGGCAAAGGACCCTTTGTATTCCCAAGGTGTCTCTTTTTATTATTTTTTCCATCTTCTCCTTTCCTTCTGTCATCCTACTTGTTTCCTGGGCACAAAGCCTTTCCCCTGAATATTCAGTTTCTAATCACTCATAGGTTGGAAAGACAGATCAAAACCTTACTGTTGTTAACAGTCCTTACAGAAAGAAGTTAGATTTCTTCATTAGATATATTTCCACTGAGCCAGGTGCCTGAGACTTATCTGGGGATGGATCCTTCTCCATATCTGAAACCTGCTCCTCTTTCAGTGTTCCTTGTCTCAATGAATGTCAGACCTCTACCTGCAGAGAGCTTCCTCTCTCCCCTGGGGTGTGCCTCATACTCCCTCTCTCCCTCTGGTTAGGTCCTACCTGAATTCATCTGACAGGGTATCTATTGCCAGGAGCCTTCCCCGCGCCCTGGGTTGGTTTATGTGCTCCTCCAAGGTTTATTTGCCTGTCTTCCCAATTGAGCTGTAGGTTCTGGGGTTGGAGTAGTCTTACTGACCTATATCCCTTATCCCCACTCATATTTAGAGTGCAATGTAGGGTAGCGGCTAGTGGTATAGACTCAGAAGCCAGACTGTCTGGTTTGCATCCACCATTTACTAGCTGTGACTCTGGGCAAGTTACTTAATTAACCACTTCATGCCTCAATTTCCCTATTACAAAAGTATAGATGACAATAGGAGCTACCTCATGGGGTTGTTTAAGGGTTTATAGCAGTGCCTGGCACATGGTAGGCATTCAGTATATGATGGCTACCACTATAATTATTATTTTTATCATCCCTAGCATCATCACCATCAGCCCCAGAATCAGGCCACAGTGCCTGAAGAATAGTGTACTCTCAATAAATTCTTCCTGGGTTGAATTGAATAAACAGTAGGGTGCTTATTTTGGCCTCCCACCAGCCTTTCTTGCTTACTTTCTGATTGGCAGTGCCCCAGGTAGATGAGATCATGGAAAGTTACCCTAGTATAAGTGGGGGGATTGTGAATGGAGCACCTCCGAATGATTATCTTGGGTAAGAGATGAGGTGACTAAATCCACAGAAGAGAGGAGAATGTCCTTGCTCAGATTACCTATGGGCTGAAGTTGCTGCAGAGTATGCAGTCCGTGACAGACCTACTGTAGCCTGAAATGTCCAGAGGATTCCAATTTGCATTGTAGTTAAACCCAGAAACTTCTCCTTCTCTCAGTCTATTTCAGGCTTTGGTTGAATTTTCACATGAAGTTTCTGAAACATGCATGCCTCTACAACAATGGGATGACTTAGAAGTCACAGGAAGAGCAAGTTAAATGCAGTGTAGCACTATTTCCTGGTACTACTCCCTGTAAAGGATATGCTCATCCATTATTGGCTGATATTTGTGTTTCATTGGAAAGGATGATGATATAAAAAATGGTTACCTGTAGTGATTTTTCCTATGCAGGAACTATATCTTCTGTTTTGTGTCAATTCTTTTTCTTTTTCTTTCTTTTTTTTTTAAAGATTTTATTTATTTATTTGAGAGTGAGAGAGAGAGAGAGCACAAGAGAGGGGAGCGGGAGAGGGAGAAGCAGACTCCCTGCTGAGCAAGGAACCTGATGCGGGACTTGATCCCGGGACTCCAGGATCATGACCTGAGCCGAAGGCAGTTGCTTAACCAACTGAGCCACCCAGGCGCCCTGTGTCAATTCTTTTTCTGATCGTGGAATTGAGAGCCAGAAGAAGGGCTCACAGGTGAACCTGGAAGGACAGTTTCAGTCTCCCTAACCGTGACCCTCTGGAGGCTGTGTGGTGTAAAGCAGGAGTGGGAGAATGGGACCTTGGGTTGGAACTCCAGCTTCACCACTTAGAAGCTGGGGAACCTTGTCCATGTCACCTCAGCTGCTGCTTAAGTAGACATAAGGAGTCGTCTTAGACATGTCAAGAGACAGGATCTTGGTGATGGAGAAGACTTCAGAGCTTATTTAGGCCTAACTCCCATTCTAAACAGGCACCCTTTATTGGATTTCTTCCTCTTCTTTGTAAAAATTCAAACCTGACCTATCACTTTCCTGCTTAAAATTCTATAATGCTTCCGATTTGTGTTTCTTCTTAAGTAGACATAATAAGGCCTATTTTACAAACTTGTCAGAAGAGTTAAAGGCTGTCATATATATAATAGCAAAAGCTTGACAAGCTCTTTTTAATTGGTTTTATAGACTCCTTCCACCCCCTTTTCCATGTTGGTCTTTATTAGCAAACTAGCAAATGATCTTGTTTAGTGTGTCAAGTCTTTTTGATTCAGGACTCTATTTTTGAGGTGTGCCAGGGAAATGACCCTCCTTTCTCCCTTTTTCTTTTTGAGAAGATAAACATGGACTTGACTTAGCCCTTGCCTCGCTTAAACAAGGTTTACCTGGAAGCCTTTTCCTGTCACACCTGTGTGTCTGGCAAGTGTATGCCTCTTGAACAATGCAGAGAAATCCTTAGTGGGAAAGTCAAGGCTTTACTGACATTTCACTCTTAGGCAGCATGCCCCATGCCTGTTTGTTGGAAAAACAAGCATTCTCCAGTATCTGCACAAGGATTTCATGTTGACTTTTTATATTAAACTCAGTGGTCTTCTCATTTCTCACTCAGTTATCTGTGGGTAGTAAGGACATCTTTTGTGCTTGTTAAATAGAAAACAAAACCAAAAGAGGCTTGTGTGTTCTATAATCAAAACCAACTAATTGTAAGCATCTTTTCCAGGAGGGTGTGTTGGGATAGGTTGATTTATCTGTACTGGGAACTCTTCTAATAAGAGGAGGGAGAAGAGTGAAGATCTGCTTAGTGGCTAGCCTTATTATATGGCAATAAGTAAGTCACTTCAATTTTCTAGGCCTCAGTTACCTTATCTGTAAAATGAGGAGTTGGATTAGATACAACTATGGGAGTCCTACCACCAGAAAATTCTGTGATTAGTGAACCTCATAAAGTTGTACCTTGGGTTCTGTGATTCATGGTCATTTGGGTAGTGCAAGACTAATCCTTGTTCCTTTTTTTCTTTATTGAAAAAATTTCTCATAAAGCAAATTATAGAAATGAGGTGCAGAGGACTCTTTAATCTATTAAGACTCATTAATGGCTTTTAATACCTATTAGAATCAAGGTGCATGAAATCTGCTAATTATTAAGCAGTCTTTTTCTTAATTTAGGAACATGTGATCTTAGCCATTTGTTTTGGTTATTTGAAAATAAATAATGCTTCATTTCCTTGCCATAAAATTCTCCAGTTTACATTTTTACCAGTTCAGAGTATTTGTGTAAAAATTGTCTGACCAGGGGCACCTGGATGGCTCAGTCACTTAAGCATCTGACTCTTGATTTCGGCTCAGGTCATGATCTCAGGGTCTTGAGATCGAGCCCCACATCGGGCTCCACACACAGCATGGAGCCTGCTTGAGATTCTCTCTCTTCTTTTCCCTCTGCCCCTTCCCCTGCTCTCCCTCTCTAAAAAAAAAAAAATTGAACATACACAGTTTTTGGTTATGCTATTGATTATGCTCTTATTGAGACTAACAGGACCTAATATCAGGTAACAATAATGACAAAATTTACTTTTTTGAAAATAGTCTCAGAAACAGCTGAATGGTCATCGTGTTTAGAATTTGTTTGTATCTCCTAGGAATAAATTCATGCCAAACTTGAGTTATATCAGTTAGCCAAACAGACTTTCAAACATAAAAGCTTTTGATTTTCTGTCCATTTGCGAGGTCTCCTAAGGTCTCTGGACAGGCCTTCCTCATTCCACCTTCACCAGCAGAGCTGGGTGTTAGCCCAGCAGTTAAGGGAGGCCTAGGAAACTCTAGAAGGAAACAAGTAGAATGGACTTTATGGAAACATAAGAGATGTCAGAATATCCAACCAGTTGGTCCACTTGACAGACCAGCTATAATTAGAGTCTGAAAATAACTACTCTGAATGCAGTCACTTTTCTCTGAAAGAGAACAAAGAGGCGGAAAAAGAGTACAGGCACAAATTGGATTGTTGGTAATATTGTACAAATTTTTGGAAAAAAAAGGATAGTACTTTTATGGTCTAACTGTACTATGTACATAATGGTAGTAAGATGCAAAGCTTGGTTCATAGGATTTGTCGTCTACCAGTTGGATATTACCAGTTGAGTTTATCTAAATTTTGGCAGCCATATTTTGAGCTTTAGATGTTTGATGTTGTTCTTAATGTTCTTAACGTCCACTTGGTTATAATCCAATCTGTAAAAGCTCGATGTTATTACCATTGTTATTGTCACTGAATAATGGCTCATTTTAAAGTTCAGGGGCATTCATTTTCTTGTCTACATGTTTAAGTTTTGAATAATCATCATCAAGCAGTAGTATTGATTAACATTGTGTATTTTATTTGTCCCTAAAGCTTGTGGTTAAGATGCATTAAAAATAACTAGCAAAGTTTAATTTATTATAAATTA